AAGGACACAACTTTAGGCCGGCGCTCATTAGCCGGCTGTCTGATCACTGTTGCCGCAGTCCTTGGGTCCTCTTCAACCCTACAATGCGGTGATGTCCGGAGAACCAGGGAAGTGTCCCTCCGCAGAGGGGAAGACGGGTAGGTGAGCAGACTGTGGGAGAGACCCACAGCACGGTCTTCCTCAGCCACGGCCAGGACGGAAACCGATAACCTGCGCCGGCACAGCCGGGCTTTGAAAGCACAGTGCAGACACCCAAGGGAAAACGCTGCCTTGGTTCCAGGTGCAAGAAGGACCTTGAAGAGAGAAAGTCCTAGAACAGAGTGCAGGTAACCAGGGAGAGCCAGGGAGAGGGTCAGTCTGGACTCAGGAGGCCCCCTGGCAGTGACGCTCAGCTCAGGGCGCACGCTCGGTGGAGGTGTGCTGGAGAGGAGCCCCTCCAGGGGCTAGACGGGTGTGCTGCAGGCCTTTGACCCAGATCCTTGTGTTCTGACTGTAACTTCTACAACTCTGGTCACCCTGCAGCTGCCACTTCACCAGGGGAACCACTGTCTGTGGTCCATCCCACCATCCCACGCAGCCCACGGAGTGCCTACCTTCTCGTGGTTGTAACCAGCCAGGAGAACAAGCAAGGTCAGCGGCAGGGCAATGTACGACCCTTGGGCGATGTCTTGCTCGGGCAGTTTCCTCTGCGAATACCAAAAGGAACGTTACCCCCAGTGACTTCCCAGACTTCCAAAGGTAGTGTTACCCTCAGTTACTGTCTAGACTTCCAAACAGGGTTACCCCCAGTTACCCAGACTTCACCAACCCCTGGCCACACAGTCCTGGCGCCCCAGCATTCCACCGTGGGGACAGGGACACGCGGGCATTCCGCACAATCCAAGCTCTCCGCATCCAACGTCCAGAAGCAACAACAGCTCGGGAAGCGTTCCGGTGAAGGGTCTGCTGGGCATGCTCTGATCCCATCCTGAGACTCGGGAAGAGGTGGCCTGTCCAGCCAGCTGCTCCTCACCCGGAATCTACACTCACCAATCGGAGGGACCAACACCCAGAGAGCAGGGCGTCCCTCCAGCTGAGAAGCAACCCGGTCTCCTTTGACTGAGCTCCCCATGTCCTGGGGATATCGTCCTGTGAGGGCACACAGAGCACCCACCACTCTGGGCCCTGAGCCCCGGGCGGCTCTCCTCATCCTTCTGCACATCCTTGGAGGTCACAAGCACGTGCTCAGCAGCAGTGACCAGGCCGGGCTGCTCAGCCACCAGGTCCTAGCCTCCTGCTGCCCCAGTCTCCCTGAGCCAGGGCGCCCATGGCCACCTTGTCCTTCAGAGGCCTTTCTCCTCCTGCCCCTCGGGGCCTGCCCGGCAAACAACCCATCCTACATGCCCATCTCCACGCTTCCCCCTGGGAGTCACTGAGAGAGCGCACAGGGCTTCAGGGGGGCTCGAGTGACCCTGCTGGCTGCAGCGGAAGAGCTGTGCCCCGTCCAGCTCAGCAATGTCTCTCTCTCTGGGGCCCAATCTTCTCGTTTCTGAATGAGAGGGAATCCCGATCCGCTGGTTTGGCCCCCGATTCCCACTCACAGCGACTCACTGCTCTGTGGAGTCTCCACAGGGGTGGGCATCACGGAGCCACACAGCCACGCTCTCTCCCAGAGCAGCTGGGGAGTTCGAGACACCGACTGTGCCACATTTGGAATCATCTTCCACACCTCACCCCAGGAACATTCCAAACGAAGAGAGGCAGAAGTGTGAAAATGCAATCATGCAAGAGCCCCCGGAACACAGGATCAATTCCTCTGAAAGGCTCCCAGCGGTGACTCGAAATGCAGAAGCAAAGGTACAGACAGACCCGCACGCGCGCACCAGGAAACTCAGATGACTCCGTGTTTGCCAAGGACAGCAGGGAACCAAGTCACACATGGGGAGACGTGCTCAACTTCTATCACAGAGAAGCACCATTGTACCAAGAGCGTCTGAAACAGACGAAGACGACCGTCAGCCTGTAGACAGACTCAGCTGCGAGGGAAGGAGTGAGATGGCTCGTAACCACCAGAGCAGAGGAGGGAGAGGCAACTAAAGCTACGGAAGACACCGCGTGTCCATTCGAGCGGACTGTTCACAGTGGCCACCTCTGCTGGTAAGATGAAAGGGGAAAGGTCGTCGCCTACATGGCCGGTGGGACACAGAGTGGCACGACCCCTGTGGCGGGGGCCTAGTACAATAGTGCCCTAACCCTATGGTGTGCCGACTCCACCCGCCAAGTCAAGACACGGAAGCATGAGTTACTCATCAAAGGACTATTTGTGACAGCAACATACACACCACCTCTCCGCACCAACAGCTAAGGACTGCCGTGGCAGGCGAGAGCACAAGAGAGGACGCTCTAGGGACACACCCACTGCTCCCAACAGTGAGCTGGAAAAAATAGACCGCGGTCCTAGGCACGGTGACCCAGGCGGCAGCAACGTGGTGAGAGTTTCCTCTCCTGACTGTAGGTTCCTGGGCCCGTCTCACACCGCAGGGTCGGAGGCAGCGGTCTTAGTTGTCGCTGATGTGATTCCACTGCCCTGCAGTGTGGGCAACCACTGAGCCAAACTGCGACTCAAGAAGGTGATGAGAGCGTGTGTTCCGTGTGCTCACGCTCTGCTGGTGGTGACAGTCCGTTTGTGCGACACATGACCAGGAAGGCCCTCACACCACCTACGGTCTCCCCGGTCCCCAGCTCTTGTAGAAAACAACAGGAGAGCTCCCACACACTGCCTACACCCTCGGAGAGGGCTCCGGCACTTCCTTCCCATGAGCACAACGTGCCTCCTGAGGCAACAGTCAGAACCACCTGTCATGAACGCAGCGCCCGGCCTCACGGGGACGGCAGGCGCCACGCTGCCAGGACAGGAGGGAGGCCTCGGGGCAGCCCAGGGCATGAGTGGCCGGTGCCGTCAGCCCTGGAAACCCAGCCAAGTGACCGAGACCTACAGCCTCGAACCCAGGCAGCTGGGCTGCCCCTGCTCTCCCCAGCCCCCTGGAGTGCACACCTGCCCTGCACTCACCGTGGGGCTGAAAATCAAGGTGACGTGCTTATGATAGCCGGCAGCGGAGAAGGTGACTTGGGGTAGGACGTAGTCAAACTGGGACCTGGGGAGCGTGGAGTCCAGAAGCACAACGTAGCTCTAAACACAGGAAAAGCCAGTCAGTCTGAGTGAGCAAGGGTCTTCATGAGGACAGGGGCACCCAAACCAGCGGGAACGCAAACCCAACCCTGGCTAGACGGAAACCCCGCCACGCACGTCCCAGCCAAGACTGCCGGCTTCCGCGGGAGCTCGCCACCAGCGACGGCAGTGTGGCCCCTTACTTCTGAGACAGGCCTGCAGCACTTAGGAACACAGGCCACCATGACAAAGAGGGGCCTCTGAGGAGCTGGTCTGACAAACACCCCAAATCAGCAGGGGTCAGTGATGACGACGGAGGTGGTTGCTCAAATGGAGGCAGGCTGCTTTCAACCCAGAGTGTGGCTGAGTTGTAAGGGGCGCTATGTCGACAGCGGCTCATACACTGGTCCCTTCTGAAAACCTGGACTGTCCCAGGGCTAGTCCCCAGCCCCCCGTGAGCTGGGCCTCCACCACTATGTGCCCAGGCCCCGCATGGACCACACCAGGCCCAGGCCAGCTCTGCTGACCTCTGCTGACAGGATGGCTGTGCCGCCCCCACCCTATAAGGTGGACAGCAGAGTGTGCAGAAAGAAGTCGGGGCAGCCCTGCTTTTAACTCCCAGTGGCCCTACGTGGCAAAGCAGGGCTGCCCTACAGCGAGTTCTAGGTGTCACTGTTAGGGCAGATGACCAGGTCTTCCCCGCCACTGACCCTCTAGTTTGCAGCATAACCGTGTGGCCTCCCGGGTTCCTGAATAAGTAGGTTGATTTGTGTGCGCGCTCTCCTGCACAGGCGTGTGCGTGTGCGCACGCTGACTGAGAAAGCACCACATGGATTTCTACTAGCGACATACTGCTTCTGGAGGATGGGACGGAGGCTGGCTTTTTTTTTGCCCCTCAAAGCTTCCTGTGATATTTATCATTCAGAAAGAGGCACACAGCTGATTTAGAAAAACCAGTCTGTCCACTGCATCTGGCTGGGCCCACACTGAGTGCTTCTGCAGGGTGGCCTGTGGGGGGGGAGGGGGGGGCAGAAAGCTGGGTCTCCGTGAAGCCACACGCGGTAGGTCACAGGCGGTAGGTACCTCGCTGTCCCGGAGAAGCGGGGGGAAGTGGAAGAAGAGGGACTGGCCCAGAGACACCGTCTGGATCGGGTTGTCAAGGTTCTCGTTTTTGTAGAGCTTCACCTGACGAGCAGAAACAAAGCCGGGTGGCTTGTGAAATGAAAACATGATGAACATTTTGCACCAGACACGCCCAGCTTTGTGTGGGAGTAGGGAGGTAGTGGGACCCTTTGGAAAGTCGGATAGTTGAAAGACGAAGTGTCCTCCCCTGACAGGCTCTCCCATCACCCGAGACTGCTAACGTGCCCGACAAAGAAAGGCAAGGTATCACAACAGACCCTAACCACTGTCAGCACTCACAAGAGTGGAGCAGCTACCCTAAGGGTACCGCTAGATAGCAGAGATGCTAACGTTTGCTGGGCATGTGTGATGTGCCAGCTCAGCACACAGCACGGTGGGTGCCTCCTCGATAATCGCAGGTGCCATCACCAGGACTCCAACACCGGAGAGGCGGCACAGCTTACACGCGGCAGAGTCTGGGCCGATGGAGCCAGACTGCGGAGGTCTTGCCCACTGTGCACGCCACCCTGTGTGATGCGGGACCTTACTCCCACAAGTCGCAGAGACGAGCCAGAGCTCAGGACCACTGTGCCTTTCAGCCCGGGGCTGCTTCTTGTTCCTGGCCTTGTTTCTCTCGAGCCTTGTGGACACCTGCAGTGGGGCAGGAGGAGGAGGATGGCCCAGTCCTGGCTGATGCAAAGACGGTGAGGCACCCCGAAAATGCCGGACTCACGCTGACACCCTTCTCTATGTTGTGACATAGAGGGCTCGGGAGTTCTCCTGAAACAGCACCGCGTGAGCTTCCCTAAAAGGATCGTGGGAGCCATGGCGTGCTCTTTTGTTCTGAAGACGCCTTAAAGTACCTCTGAAATCATCATCCCATATTTAAACATCTGGGCATTTCAAAGCATTTCAATTCCCAACTACTCTGAGGAATTGGAAAGTGGTACCAACAATGGACCAACGATCTAACACGGCAGCCCTTATAGGGCACCAAGGAGTGGCTGGCTTGCCGCCCATGATCTGCATTCCCCACCCTGTAGAGAGCGACTGCATCTCCAGTTTGCCCTGATCCCATCCAGCCCTGGCCCCTCGCTGACATCACCTGCCTGAGCCCCCGGCACTCGGGTCTGCGAGCGCAGGGCCAAAGGGCGGGTAACAAACCTAAACTCGGGTCCTCACTCAAGCCCGACACTGAACTTTATATAAACTCAATGTGCCCTAAGGTACAACTATTGGTCTCTCCACTTCTAAACAAAGAATATGTTTTTTAAAAATTAATGTAACATAATAATAATAAAATCAAAGACACATATATACGTGACCCATGATCCAAACGATTAATGGACCACGTGAACCTCAGCCTCCGTGGCACTGAACCAGAACCGGGTGGGAGCCAGCTGCCACTGCTGACCACTGGGAAAGGCATGACAACAGGAGGACCGAGAAGGAGGACAACATGGAGCTCACCAGCAGTCTGGTAGAGGCCAGTAGAATCCTTAAGACTCTGGATGGCCTGGCTACTGCCTTCATGTCAATATCAACTCCCAGGGACCCCAAAGAACAGAGAACTGCTTCACAGCTTTTCCGAGACTCCCACAAAGCAGCTGGTGGGTCTGAACTGTCAACCTTTTGTTTGTAATGCCTCAAGCACCGCCAGGGCATTGAGACTGGCCCTAGCAACACCCCCGACTCCCGTACTCTGTTCACAGGCGCGGGGGCATTTTATGTGTCTCTTCGAACCACACAGGCTGTTACAGATGGACGAGGCCCTGAGAGGGGGTCATTTAGTCCTCGAACCACACAGGCTGTTACAGATGGACGAGGCCCTGAGAGGGGGTCATTTAGTCCTCGAACCACACAGGCTGTTACAGATGGACAAGGCCCTGAGAGGGGGTCATTTAGTCCCACTCCATTTCACAGGGGAGGAGCGCCACGCGTGTGCACATGCGGTGACCGGCCCGAGGCTGCACAGCAGGCAACACCAGGGACAGGAGGAGCCTGGCGCCTCCGCCCCCCAACAGAGTTAGACTTAAGTGACACTTTGTCTTAAAACTACCTTTCTGTGTGCTGGTCCAGACTGCATCAACGTTCTTCGAGCTTCTGCTACAATCCCTGCAGAGACTGACAGCTACCTGAAGTAGGAGTTCACTCTCCCCGAGAGCAGCAGTGGCTCCACCAAGACCTGCTGTGACTGGAGCGTCTTCAGTCCCAACCCTAACCAGCCCCCTGGGAGCAGCTCCACTGTCAATACGGAAAAGCCCAGGCAGCCTGCTCCTCTCGGTCTCAGAGCCCCAAGGACACACTGGTTGGAACCCTTTGTACTTGTGAGCTAGGGGCAGTTCACAAAGCAGATTTCACACTCAACAGTTCACTCACATTTTATTCCAACTCATCCCTTGCAATCCCTCAACACACCATCACTCGCCCACTTCCTCCCTGTTTCCAGTTCCCTTCCTCCTCCTCTCCTCACCCTCTGGACTTCATCCTTGGGGAAATGCTGCCCTTTGGATCTTAAATGGTTGACCATTCTACCACAGGGGTGAGCTCAGTTCTACACGTACAGGGTCATGAACGGCCAGAGTCTTGGGGGTCCCACCGCTTTCTATCTGACCAGTCAGCCTGATCTCTTTTATGATTAGGTAATATTTCAATCTTTATAAAGCTGGTCTTGTTCTAAAACTGATGGTGATGCCTGTACAACTCTCCTTGGTGTGACTGAACTACTGAATTGTACGCTAGGTGAATTATATGCTGCTAGGAGGTGGGGGGGCTGGTCATTAGCTTACCCACAATGTCGGAAGATACTCGGGGGAAGTGACCACATTTCCACTTAAGTCAAATTGATTAATCTGCCGGAAGACGATGATGTTTACGTCATCCATGTCGTTATTCCCGACCTAGAGAGACACAGACGCCGATGCTGAGGGAGCTGGATGGAGTAGGAGCATCCAGCCACTGGATGGTCTGAGGGCTTATTCACAGCAAACCTCCCTTCTTCAGGGAGCAGGGTTTGCCATCGAAGGCGGCCAGGTAAAAAGTCACAACCTGACAGCAGGTGGGCCACACCCACCCACCACACACACTGTATAATGTGCACAGCGTTGGGGGTGCGTCTTCCTCTCACCAGCTTTCACAGAGCCAAGACACCTCATGCTCCAAGCCAGTTCTCCAGCTACTCTTGAAGCAGAGACCCTCAGTGGGCTCTGAGCCCCGGCTACCCGCTTTGGCAGGGGTATGTGCCCGTTTACGCACCCTGCCAACCCCTTCACAGCAGCCCACGTGACTGCTGTGACGTGGCATAAGCCACCTTGGCGGGGGAGCAGACACGCTGAAGTGTGGCGCCCAGAGCCCTTTCAAAGCCAGGGGCCACCGACGCCACGGAAAGCCCTCCCGGCCCCACACGCCCCACGACTGACGTGTGCGTGGCCATGAGTCCCGTGCTGGCTCGTGGCGACCCATACAAGCACAGCCAAGCGGCCCCCAGGTTCTCCACTGAGACCTTGGAGAAGCAGGTGGCCACGTCCATCTTCTGAGGCACCACCAGGTGAGGTCGAACCACCAACCTTTGAGCCAGTATTCAAATACTTAACCGTTTGCACCACCAAAGCAGCCTGCTCCCTCCACTCCGATCCTCCCACTTTGCGTGTCTGCTACCGTGTGCCTCGGAGTCACAGCTGACTCGGGGCGACACACCCCCCCCCCACCCATGCCCCCTGGGCAGAGGGAAACGGTCCCACAGGGCCTTTACAAGAGCAGAGGTCCAGGTTGGTCCTGCCAGAGTGGCTCGTGGGCTTGAACTGCTGGCCTTGTGGTTTGTGGCCAAGCGCTTCACCGCTAACTAGGGCTCCTTCCTTCGTGTTCAACGTTCACGTAATAAAGCCAACACATTAGGGGAGGGTGGGGGGAGAAAGGGGGAACCGATCATAAGGATCAACCTAGAACCCCCTCCCAGAGGGACAAATAATGGAAAAGTGGGTGAGGGGTGATGGAGCACGATGTAAGATATGGAAAAACAATACAGAACTTATCAAGGCTTTGTGAGGGAGGGGGAAGAATGGGGAGCTGATATCAGGGGCTCAAGTGGGAAGAGAATGCTTTGAAGATGATGATGGCGGCATATGTGCAAATGTGCTTCACACACACACTGGAGGAACGTATGGATTGTGATGAGACGTTAAGAGCCCCCAGTAAAAGTATTTAAAAATAAAAATAAATAAAGCCACCAAGAGTCAGTCTCTCCGGACCCATCCCCCCTCGTCAGCACCACCAGGTTGTGCGGGGAGTCTGACCACAGATGGATCTGGGGCATCCTGCCCACTGGAGGCCGTCTCCTTCGGGGCTCAATTTTGCTACATTATCATGGAAATCAAAGGACTCCGCCCACCAACGGGAAGAAAAAAAAACCGGCACCTAACAGAAGACCAGGTAGTCCTGCCCCAGTGAGGCCACCCCGACTGCAGAGGCTCCGTCTGGGCACAGAGAGGGGAGGGGGTGGGGGTTGGGGGGGACAGACACACGACGAGAATCCACCTTCCTTTTCCTAGCCTACGGCAGCCATGCTGCTCATTACAAATCCCAGCCCACCAGCTGCTGCCTGGGAAGATGACATCTAAGAGGACCCTTCAGCAGGGACCATGACAGCTGAAGTGCAGCCAGCCAGGAGAGTCCCGGGGAAGCAGGCATCAAGCCCAGTCAGCCACAGAGCTTCCCGTCTTACCTCGATGACCCGGTGGTGGGGCAGGGCTCGTTCAATGTGGTCGTTGCCTTCTGCCTTGAGCTGAACGTGGTACACACACCCCGGCTGCAAGGAAGCACAGCAGCTTAGTCCCTAGAAAGGGGGCTTGTGGCGTAAAGCCTGGCTGCTTTCCCAGCTCATGCACCAATCTGTGGCCCATTGGCCTTCCTTAGGGTCACTCGAGAGAGCACCCTGACATTGCAGCATGGGTCACAGTCACTCAGCCAAGGGGCCATGAACAGGCAGCCATAGAAACGAGGTGCTCGACCCACCCAACGGAACAGGAATCAGTCAACACGAGAAGGAGCCACGCGGATGAAGCTCAGAAACATGATGCTCGGTGAACCCCATCCGACGGCTATCGCATGACCCCTGGGAGGAAATACCCAGGATGGTGACTGCCCCCAGAAGCTCAGTAGTGGTTCCCATGGCTTTGGGGAGTGGGGGGCTTATCGTTGAAGGGGCGCCGAGTGACCACCTGGGCTGATAAGGCACCTTTGGAAATAGTGGTAATGGCTGCCCAGCATGGTCAAGGTCACCCAAGTGTGCCTTAAAAATGGTCAAGACGGCACTATTCGTGTGAGGAGGGGGCTTCCCGTAAAAAACTGAACTGGAAGATAATGAAGTTTTCCCACAGGCTTTCTGACGCCCTCGCACATCTATTTCACCCATGTGAGGCTGATCCCCAGACAGACCGGCACCCTGGTAAAGAACTCGCGGCCTGCGGGCATCCCAATCCTGCCCCCTCCTCTTCCCGTCAAGGCACGTGCAGTGCAGTTCTGCCTCCCAGCTGCAAGTGCGGTCTGCTCTTATGCACACAGACCCACCCTTTCCTGGCCGCCCACGGCCCCGCCATCTGCAATGTGCACGCCGACATCCGGAAGGACCGAGATGAAGAGGGGACATCATTTCTGGGGCACAGGGTCTCAAACTTCTTTGTGATGACTTCTTCCACCCTACCCTTCGTACAAGGGCCCGGTTGAGTAGGCAGCGATGCCAGTACGGTCCAGCCGAGGACTGTGTTCGCCCAGCAGCACTTGCTCTGGAGAAGCAGTGTCAAATGCAAGCAGGGGCCGGGGCTCCAGCGTCGAGTAGCAGCTTCGAGGGGAAACCGGATTAGCAGCAAAGCGCATTTTTAAACGAGTGTGGCTGATACACTCCAGGCTCCCACACTGAGCCATGCCTTCATCAGCTCTGCGCGTGCAGAGCCGTGTCTCAACGGCACTCAGGACTCGTCGGCCAGGAGTACTTCTAGGTGATAACTTTGGGGGGGAGGGGTGCTGTCTTCACGCACATCCATCTCTCTCCTTTTCTACTATGTATTACTTTAGTTACTTCAAGAGCATGTGGCATCCTTGCAGAGAAAGCACAGCGATTGTCCTGACTGGAGGAAGAAGAGCAAGCAGGGGGCAAGCCCACACTCAGGAGCACCAGCAGCTAGCTTAGCTCACTGACCGCTCCACTAAGACGGCAGCGTCGGACCCAAACCCACTGCTGTCCGGTCAATGCCAACTCTTGCGTGGCGGAGCCGGAGGACTGCTCCATGGGGAGTCCTAGCTGTGACCTTGAAGGAAGCACACGGCCAGGCCTTGCCTCCACTATGCTCCAGGGTGGGTGCCCTCGCTGGGCTTCAGGCTGCGTCGTGAGGTACCAGCTACCTGCACTCTCCAGGGGCCTCAGATGCGAGCATTACTTGTGAGACTCGGCAGCAGGCACAGCCCACCTGCTCCAGGCCCCGGGGCGGGGCTCTGCGGCTCTCACTGGTCCCGATGACCGCGTCGCAGCAGGCTGCCTCTGCAATGTCGCCGCCGCCTTCGTGTCCCTCCTCGGCCACCTTGGTAGATGGCCGCTCCCAGATGTCCCGACAAGCACAGTGCCGGGACAGCAGTAGGGTCAACCCACTAACGGGCCCAGCTGCTCCTCCTAAAGCCCAAACCAAACCAAACGCACTGCCACGGAGTCCAGGCCACTCACAGCGGCCAGGGCGGAGTAGAACTGCCCCCCTGGGGGCTCCCGACACAGCAACTCTTGGTGGGAGTGGAAAGCGTGTGGAAGTCGGGCTCCATCAGCTCGGCATCACGCAGTGAGAAACGTGACCGTGCGCTAGCGCAAGCCTTCCCCGTGGACGGTGCCAGCTGCCCGATGGCTTCACACCTGCGCAGGGGGGGAGGGGAGGGAGGCTGGTGGCGTCTGTTAGCCTGTGACAGCACTCTTCCCAGCAGCTGGCCCCCACAGGGCAGCCGAGAGCTACAGGGCGCACCAGCCGTTAAAGTCGTCCAGACCCGTGTAAGCGAGATGAGATGGTCGCCGTTACTGATGAATCTGGCAGAGACCCCACAAGACGTGGAGTGTCGGCCCAGCCAGGTCCGGGACCCTGCCCAGATGCTGTGCCCAGCTCTGCCCACTGACCCACAGGAAAAGGTATACTGCAGTTCTGAGCATAGCTGGGTCAGACACCCGCCCCCCCCCACCACTTACTAAGTCTATCGACCGACTTAGCTTGAGCACTCTGCTCCTGAGCAGCCTCTTGACTGACTTCCAGCGGGAATGCCTGGGCAGAGAGGACTCCTGACTTTGGGATAGAACAGCATGGTCCCAATGTCCAGTACGTAAGCAGACTGACGGATGTGCACCTCAGCTCACGTGATATTTACGGAACTAGGAGTCTGTCACCAAGCTACAGCTAAGGCCAACCAACACCACCACCTGTGGATCTACCAGACAGGTTAGGCAGCAGACCCCGACTGCTGACGGCTCAGCATCCTAGGTGCTGCCTGCTCCCCACCGGGTGCCCGCCCGCCCCGTGCTGTCTACGAGACTTCAGCAGCCCCTGAGCAAGCGAAGGAAGAGGCAATCCAAGGAAAACCGCGAGAGCAAAGGGCCACGCCAATAGTCCCCACCGTTCTTTCGGCCACAGAACTGTAGCCGCTGACACGGCGGCTGGGAGGCTTTGCCCCCCATTCTCAGTGTCTGGAGTGCTGTCGACATCTCAGCACAGGGCGGACACATCCCCCGAGAACCCACTCCCGGTCTCACCAGCAATCCACGCAGTCGGAACTTCCCCTCTTCATCGGTCACAGTGTCTTCTCCATAAACACTGCAGTCGCTCTGGCCCACGGCTTCCACGGCCACGCCCTGCTCTGGTTCTCCGTTCAGAGAAGAAACGGTGCCATAGCAACTAGAGCAACAGGAGGACACCATGTCACCAGCTGGCAGTGTTCTAAAGCACGCAGTCAACAAAATGTGAGCACAGTCTGCACCCAGTGACTGAGGCCACATAGGTGGGGCTCTGCATGTGCGGGCACGTATGTAGCGACACAGTATGTATACAAGGTGACTTCAAGAGGTTCATTAAAAAATTACACCGTGTCTCCCACGGACTTTTCTTAGAGCCCCCTGGTGTACAGAAGAACACACACACAAGTGGCATGTGGAGCAACGCTCGATGGAAGTATCCAGAAAACGGACAAATACAAATCCCAGTCACCACCTTACCACCAGCCTGCCGGACAGAGTAGAACTGCCCTTGTGGGTGGCCAACTATGACTCTTTATGGAGAGGAAAGCCTTGTCTTTCTCCCCAGGAATGGCTGGTGGTTTCAAACTGCTGACCCTGTGGTTAGTACCCCAAGCTGTAACCCACTACGCCACCAGGGCTCCAGCTGGGAAACGGGAGCAGGAGGAAAATGATAGCATATTCTTCTGTCAACATCCCGGACTTTTATTCCAGTGACTTTTTCTTTCAAAATCCTTAATGCAAGTTTAAAACTTAAAAACAAAACAAACAAAAATCTTTTAGCAACTACATACCTTAACAATGTGAAAGTTTGAACAATTTCAAAATGGGAACTAGGGGCCTGAGCAGCTTGAGAGATTAGACAGAAAGGTCAGCCGCCAACCACCTTCGCCCACGGCCCACGGCCCGCCTCCTAACAGCTGCCTGATGCCTGGGAAGGGCTTCGGGCAGCAGATGTGTGAGGGCGCCTCCCCAGCTTGCCCTGGCGCGTGAGAGGTGGGCAGGGATGCTCACCTGTAGGCCGTCCGGTAGCCGGTGATGGTGATCTTCAGGTTCTGGCCCTCCTGCACCTCGATCATTTGTGAGGACGGCTCAAAGCGGAACTCTTTCATCATGGGTTTGAAGTAATACTGCCCGGGACTCTAGGGAGGCAAGCACACACAGCCTCTGTGGCCACACTGTGGGTGGCTTGAAAGGGGGACAGCAGTGCTAGGAGGGACCAGAGTCAGGCCACACTAGCTTGAGGGCTTCCAGAAAAGAACTAATACCCCCCTCCCCCCCAGACGTAAGCAAGACAATGACTGCGCTGGCATCAGCGAGCCTCCAGTCGTCCTGTGGGGGAGAAGACCGCTTGAAGATGAAGCGTACCTGCCTGAGGTGACGCGGCACCAGCGGCAGGGGAGCTCTGCCGCGCGGCACAGAGCTGCAGCTCTGAGCTGCCTCCCTGCTGCTGGTGCCGCCCGTGACACTCATCTCCCTCCTCGGACACGAAGGCCACTAGAGTGCACTCTGGGTCTCAGTCAGGAGCCCAGACACTGGCTCGGAGAAAAGCGTCCTGCTGTCTTCCTCCATGGGGAGCCAGGCTTTCTGGGTGAGCCCGCCTCTCCCCTCAGGCCTCCCAACCGCAGGCCCATGAGGACCACGTGATGCTGACAGGATGTTCCCCATCTACAGGTGACGGCTTTGACTTTTATTTGAGTCAGAGTGTGAGAGAGTCCCCAGGTTATTCTCCGGACCTCATTGCAACGGGAAAGAGAGGAGGATGGCCCAAGAAGCCCCAGTGGCCAACGCTCACCGCCCGCTCACTCCAACACCATACTCAGGGATCGCACACCATCCCGACGGCACTTCCGGAAGTGTCATGAGCAGCCCGGCTGTGGCCCCTTCCTGGGGGACTGGGCTGGCCCACATGTACAGGAGGGTGACTGGAGGCCCTCACCTGGATCCCAACCTCAGCCTCGACTCCAGTGACTTCTGCCGCTTTGCAAAACCACTACAAACCAACCACCCAAAGCAAGGTGCCATGGGCACAGCATGGCACTGGTGCGGCACAGGCGCGTCCCGGCGAGGAGCCAGGACAACATCTTGTGACAAGTGGCTGACCGGGAAATAAGACGCCTGTGCAGGACGGATGGGAAGCCCCAGCATCCCACTCCAGGACAAGCAACACTGCCATTACATTTGTCCCCAAAGACACACAAGCCACACCAAACGGGCCTCCTCCTCTCACACTGCAAGTACAACACGAGACTCGTGTTCCGTGCCCATGCTCTCTGGGGGACGTGACAGAGGGGCCCTCACCAGGTTTGAGAACGTCAGAATGCCATTGTCCTGAGTCAGGAGGTTGGAACGAAACACACCGCCACTGAGGGACAAGAGGACCCCGGGCAGGGGCTGGTCGTCTTCAGCTTTTATCTGGGGACGAAAAAGAAACATCTGAGCAAGGGGAACTCGAAACCGGGCCAAGTATAATTGCTAAAGGTCATTCCTACTGGATTTATTTTCACTTAAGTTGCTATTCACAAGTGAGAGATGGCCATTCGAGCAGGAGTGAACGTTACTCTTGCGATGTATAGCCTTCCAGAACTTTCTGGGAGGCCTCACTGCTGCTTCCTGGCTGCACCACACTCCAAACCAGGGGTCGGCAAACCAGGGCATGTGGAGCAGCCAGCAGCTTCGCTGACCCCCGACATGTGTATCTTTGTAGGCCTGGGTTTTCCGTTTCTAAGCATTGTTCTGACGAGGCACCCACGTGACAGCGGGTATGTGCATTTTAAATCCAGAAAGAAACATAAGGCCAATCCCAAGGTCCTTGGGCCCATTTCCAACCGATCAGGCCTTGCAGTCTCAGCAGGGTTTCTGACGCTGCCCATCTTTCCAGGAGCAGGAAGTCCCTCTTCAGGGCTGACCTTGCAGCTACTAGTTCAATCAAATGCCACCCCCCCACCCTGGCGCCGCTAGGGCTCCCTGCCAGCCTCCCTCTGTCCATGCAGAAAGCTGTCACTCGACCGACTGCAGCGCTGTGTGGCTGTAACCACTTAGCAGCCAGGAAGCCACGCCTGAGCCAGAACATGGATGTCGTTTTGATGGCTGCAAATTTAACCCCAAAAGCGGAACTGCAGAAGCTTCCTGCGAATTCCTCCATTGCACAGTGGGGTTTCTAACCACGTGTCTTACACTGGCCTCTCCCAGCCCCGTTCACGTTCCTCCTGGCGGTTGCTCTCTCTCGGCCTGGCAGCTCTGCGCACTGGGCCTGTCTTCTATAGTGAACCTGTCTTCCCAGCCGGGCGGCTTTTCATTGAGCTTAAAATGCACTGGAGTTCTGTGTGCTCCAATCGGTGATTCTTTCTCTTGGGCCTCTCAAGGAACTATTGAGTCAAGTGTCCCCGGACCCAGTCTGTGCAGCCTACAGACTGCTTCTTCCCAGAAAGGGCTGGGAGGGCATCACACACCATTTACAGGAGCATTCTCTGTCCTTCAGCACAGACCATGGTTAAGGATGAAAATGTAAAGCACTTCCCTAAAGTCAACAGAGCCTCCGATGATGGAGTGAAGCAGTCGGGCAGAAGAGCACCTCCCGTGTGGAGTTTGACTCCCTGCACAGCGAAAGATGCCCCCCATCCAGGGACAGGACGCGGAGCAGCGGCTGCCTGGGGAGGGGGCAGGAGAGGGGAGATGACAGAAGCCCAAGGAAACCTTTGGTGGGTACTGGGCCCTGGAGACGGTGTGGAATATGTACTGCAAGGTTGGTGGTTCAAACCCGCCAACTGCTCTGAGGGATAAAGATGAGGCTGTCTGCTCCTGTAAAGACTGACAGCCACAGGAACACCAAGGAGCAGTGCTAGGCTCCAGGGTTGCTGTGGGTTGGATGGCTATGGGCTTGGTTTGTTTTTTTTAATCATGTTCACTCTTAGGTCAATTGCACCTCCAGGAAACGACAAATTAGATGGAAAGTTTTAGGGGCTGTGGGTGTATGTTAGTGGGGAATGATTCAGAAAAGGAGGAGAGAACCTTTACATAACTTGAAGAGTATTATCAACGCCACTGAAGCGTACAGGTAGACACGGTTGAATGGGTATATGTTTTGCTGTGTATATTTTGAACAACAACAAGAAAAGTGCTTCTTAAAACAGTGTTACCTCAAAGCTTATGCCGGCCAAGGCATACGCCTTAAAGTCACCTATGGTCCCGTCCACAGCCGTCAAAACATAGCCCTCCTTCTGCGAGGTCACAGTGTACTCCAGGTCACTGTGCAGGGGCCCAACGCTGGATTGAAACAAAGGGAAACACTGCACATGACTGTGTTTCAAACCGGGGAAAATCCAGGCCGTTTCTTTAGGAGAGGTGCCAAAGGCAACTGGTCCCAAGCAAACGTTTCTCAGTCGGGGCCTTACCCATAAGCACCTTTGTCATCGGTATACACAGTAATCAGGGGTGAGCTTGCCCCCTTCTCACTAATGACGATCTCGACTCCTTCCAACTCAGGGTGGATTTGGCCTTCCAGAAATAAGCCTGCCTTCCCGTGGATCTCGATCAGCTTCCCCGGACAGCTCTCTGAACAGGGAGGAAACACACAGAGAAATGGGACTTGGCTGTCGACGGAGAAGCCTTTCTGTTGGGGCTTCCCATTCAAGAAAGGCCCAGACAAGATCTACGGCTGGTTGTTTACTATCGCAGAAACACCCATCCCTAGAAGTGGCCCACGCCGCGTACCTCCTGCTAAGGGTGTGGACGGGAAAGTTGACTCTTCCCTGTCTCCAGGCCTCAATCATGAGACGAGGTCTCTCCTTCAGGGCAGAAGGAGCCGTGCCCCTCAACTCCCAGAGACCCAGAGCCAAGAACAGACCACCAGCAAGCCCTGCTCTCCAGCACCCTAACCACATCCCCACCCGCGGCCTCATGACGCTGAACAAATGCTCCCCAAGCCATCACTTCTAATGATCCATTCCCCACAAGCCCCCCGTCACCCATCAAAAAAGTCTCTATCACTAACAATTCAGAATAGGAAGATTAAGCACTCACGTTTTGGTAACGGATAACCTGACAACTAGGTTGTTAATCAGATGACATCAAAGAAAACTAAGTCTTTCTCCAAAGAGATCCTCTTAACTCTAAGAGCAGGCGTTAGTTACTCTTACTGACATGGACCACAGGCTCCCAAACTTATTTGGCCTACTGCCTCTTTTCAGAAAAAATAAATTACTCAGCACCCCCACCTAATTAAAAATCTTCATCATACAGCCTACAATCTAGGATAAAACATCAGTGTCTGCTTTCTGCAGCCCCCTGGACTGTTCCAGAGCTCCCCAGGGGCCGTGTGTACACGTTGGGAACACTGCTCCCCATCTTCCACCCACGCACGCACACCCGCCAAGTGGTGACGACCACGTGCTAAAAAGGAAGAGGACATGCAGCAGCTCATCAAGACGACTCCCCACCTCACGTCACCCCTCCCTTAACACAGAACCCCGAGCCGAGGGTGCAGGTACAGGGGCAACCGCAGGTGTGGCATTCGCTTGCTGAGATGGCATTTACCTCCACTGACGACGGCTTCCATTGAAGGCGGGTAAAAGAGAAGCTCTTTAGACGAAGGTGTAACAGTGATTTTCTCTCCAGACCTAAAATAATTAAGACGCTTCAATGTGGCCCACCAGCTCTGCCCAACCGACTAGATGGCAAACATCAGCACAGAGGAGGCTTACCGTGCCCAGTACGAGAAGTCGTAGGAGAAGGGGCCTTGTAGCTCATCAACCATCTCTTGCACAGGAGGCTTGGCCCTCCCTTCTCCGCCTTCTTCTCGGCCCTTCTTCTCCCTCTCCTGCCTGCGGGCCTCGATCTCGGCCAGCTGCTGCTCCCTGCGGAGCTCCTGCACTGACTTCAGGGGGCCGAGCACGAGAGCAGGCTCGCTGTCGATGGAAGACCTGCAGGAAAGGAAGGGGATGGCCCGTAAGGCTCTGGTTGCCTGTCCTTGTGGCCAGTGAATGCTGGCAGTGGACATGAAATCTGAATGAGCTTCCAGCTTAAAAGAGGAGAAAGCTGAACTTGCTCACGAACGTGGTTGTGTCTTGTAGATGGGACTGGAAGACAAGACCCCCGACTTCACGCTGACTTGACGAGAGCTGTCAGCTGTCCCGCAGGCCTCGGAGTTACCCCAGTGGCCACCGCTTCTCTTCATTCACCCAGGACGTATTTACCGAGAACACACGCTGTTCTAAGCCCTGGGGTCCGGGGGAAATACAATACACATTCCCTGCCTCTGTGGAAGCCACTTCCTAGGGCAAGAAGCAGACGATGGCATGGGAGGGCGAGCACAAGGAGGAAGCACACACAGAGGAGACTGTGCTGGGCTGTGGGGCCACTATTTTAGGTGAGGGGACCAGCCCAGGGCTCTGATGCGGGGCCATCCGCGCAAAGACGCAGAGCAAGGAAGCACAAGCACAAGCCCTTGGAGAAGCAGCTCTCGCTCGGTAAGTTCCCGGACAGCCCGGAGACCCCGAGGCCCGGTGTTAAGGGTCAGATGGAGGTTTGGCAGATCGCATTCCATTGTGTCCTCCGTGGGCTAAAAAGCCACTCGAGTTTTAAGCAGAGGGACGAAACAATCTCTAGCGCTGAGGGCAGGCTCTGGTGACGAACAGTGAACACAGTGCAGTGAGGCCAGCGAGGAAGCTGTACGATGATCCAGACAAGAGCACAAACTACGGCGGCCCAAACATTAACACAACCCTGGGCTATGGCCATAGTTCGGATGATAAAGCCAAAGGTGGATTGATTCGCTATGACTGGGTCTAGGACACAAGAGAAAGACAATTCCAGGAACCATGAGAAAGAGGGAGCCGTCATTTCTGAAGCAGGGGTGACTGCCGACTAGGCGGATGGAGGGCACAGGCCAAAAGTGTGCCGGGGGCATGGGGTCATCCCAGATGCCAGTGGCCGTGTCTAGCTGGAATCGCATGTTCTCACCAGCCCCGCGGTGTCAGTGACAGGACAAGAAGGCCCTGGGCGGTTATAAAAACGGATCTGTCTGAATGCTGCAGCAGAGGCAGCAGTCACGATGGACGGCTAAGAAGGTGGGCTGCTAGTCATGCCAGGGACTCGTGCTTTCCAAACGGGATCAGGAAAAGGTGTGCAGTCCTTGCAAGCAGCCCTTCTCTCCATCTCCCCGCAGGCTGTCTCGCCAATGCCCCGCCTGCCTCCCTCTGCCTCAGTCAACTTCCACTCCTCAGGCTTCTCTGTTCTGTACCCCGCAGCCAAAAAAACAAAAAGCAAACCTTCCACCTATTTAAAACACGCCAATAAGCGTTCCATAGCTCACAGGACAAGGCTTGAGCCCCTCAGCATGGCCCGGCTTCTACCAGCCGACCTCTCCACCAACTTCCTTCTGCTCACACGGTCAGACTCAGAGCACGCAGCGCCGTCATACTGGTGCAGCTTTGTGGGTGACTCTATTTGCCGGCCCTGATGAGACGGTGCCTTCCAGCAGGGTACGGGTTGAGCCCTCAGCCCAGGGCCGACACCCTGAAGAGTCCCCAGACGTGCTTTCTGCGTGGGTCTGGGTGGGAAGCTGGGTGAACAGATGGTTGGCGAGATCGCAAACCACTGGGACTGTCACCGTCATCACGCTGATTCCGACTCACAGCCGGTCTGCGAGGCAGTGCAGAGCGTGCCCCTCGATGACGTCGTCTTTCCCGAAGGAGACTGCCCCTCCTTTCTCTGTTTACAGCGTGGCTGTGGAGCTCCCGCTGCCAGCCTCAGCAGCCGAGGATGCCTGCCCGCTGCACCATCAGGGAAGCAACCCTTGATCGAAAGGGGGCAGAGAAGCGTCCTCTGATTGCCAATCCGTTTGACGCAGAGGGTCGCGTTGCTGCCACCCGCTTCCTTTCGTTCCTGGAGAGTCGGAGTGCTTCCCACAGCCAAGACCCCTCTCCCAGACGGCACTCACGTGAACCCAGCCCTCGATGAGGGCTGCCTTTCAGAGACTCCCCTCTCACGGCCCTTTGCAGATCGGGTGCCACTTCTACTTCCCACCCCGACAGAAACGCTCTCAAGAAAAGTGGGCGACGTTTCTGGACTTACTAAAAATGCCTGCCATACAACGAACGAACTCCAGAGGGGTCACAGTTGTTTTGTTTTGTTTCCTCCTCGGCAGAGACAGGAAGGGTCAAGGGTTTTGCAGCCCCAAAAGGAGCTGTCGGGGCGCGACCTCATCCCCAGCTCGTCCGTGTCTCACACGCAACAGCATGGTGGCGCTGCCCCAGACAGCCCCGGGAGGGAAGCCACGTGCACGCCACGTGGGAAGAGATGCAAAAGTCATCGTGCGAGGGTCTCTTCGAGAGGACAGCCCAGCCCCTCGGCCCACCCCGCCACAGGACCGGAGCCTCACTTGATGGTCACGCTGACGTCCATAATTCTGTCAGTGGTGATGGTTCCAAGGACGTGGTGGCGAATGGCGGTCAGTGTCAAGATACTGGGTGAAGACCTGTCAATCAAAGGAGGGAAGAGAAAACACAGACGACACTAGCTCCTCGTCTCTCGGGATCACAAGCCCACCCTTTTCCTGGGCACCCTTCCCGACCCAGAGCCACACAACACGGATGTGTGTTAAGTCAGGGAGCGGGGAGCCCGAAGCACCCGCAAGCGAGCTCACATGTCACATGCACACACACACTCACACACTAAAGAGGGAATCGCATCCACTCAAATGCCCTCTACTTATCAAGTCCCAAGAAACCCACAAGCCTGAGCAACAATATAAAAATGGTAACTTGAACTTGAGAAACCCCATCACTGGAGGCTGGACGATTCAGCAAAGACGATATTTAAGCCACTCTAAAAGCACAGCCTTTCCGTCTTGGCTCGCAGACTCTGGGGAAAGAAGCCTTCTGTCTCCACTTCCTGCCATTTCTCCCAGGGCCCTGCCACCCTTGTCTGGAAACCCTAACACCCACCCTGCCCTCTTCCGGGAAAAACAAGAGCAGTCTCAGAAAGCAACAAGAGGAGTGGGCTGCTCTCCCCACAGCACGCACACGTGCCAACAGGCATCCGAGAAGCAGGCAGCCTTACGTGTCGTAGGTGTAGAAAGCTTGTTCAAACCGGTGACAGGAGCGAGGGGTCACTTTGTACACGCCTGCACACGGGAAAGCAAGTCATTTCAGAGGCGTGGCCACCACTGCAAGCAACGCCCAGCGGTTCCAATCCAAGGGCAGCGCCTCTCATGACACACGCCCAACCTATCACCGAGCTGCAGGGCCCGGCTCAGAAGCGCCACACAGGCCTCGTCCTCATGACCCACTCCATCGCCCTGCCCGCTCACAAGAACAGGCCTTCACCTTCCGCTCCTTGCCAACTCCCGGCAGGCAGTGTGTCTGCACGGAGCAAGCACACAGATCCAAGCACAGGGGAGCCCGAAGAACATGTCTCCTGCCGAGCTGAGAAAGGTTCTGTTCAAATGCCTACAGTTAACTATGGCCTGACTCTTTCCTGTAAGCGCTCCTAAGAGGGGGCGGGGAGGAAGGGGGGTACCCGCTTTCCTCCCTCAGTCTCTCTGGGGGACCACTCCGATTCGGGGCACCTCTCACCATGTGCCAGAGGCTGACAGTCAATTTCAGAGAGGTGTGAAACATAGCAATTTTTCCCAACTGAGCATTAACTGATAATTCTACCTGATTGTCTATAAAAACCTGCAATGAGTTGCAATGATCCCCGCTATTCCATGACACAATAAGACCCCGTGCCGGCACTCTTCATTCATTCCACAGACAGTGGCTGAGAACCTACTAGAAGCCAAGAGCTGTGTTAGGTGATGGTACACAGACTGGCCTGAGCTGACAGAGCAAAATGCGGTAACTGAAAGGAGACCAGAGGGCCGCCCTGCCCCGGGGAAGGAATGCTTGAAGCCAGCACGGAATGTACAGTAAGCAGGCAGAGCATGGGTGTTAGGGGCAGAGAACTGCACTGCTGCCCGCCCTCGCCGGAGAACACTCTCAGGTCATGTTTAGGGTGGCAAATGTCTCCCGCCTCAGGCAACTACCTAACTGTCCCCGCCTCTTTGGCTTCTAGAAGGAACGAGGTAACAGGAGTTAGGCCAAGACAACGGCGGCAGATCACAGAAGGCACAAATAAGGGAAACCTCGGCTCTCTCCACCCTTCATCTTCCTGACTTGAACTGACAAGGTTTCGGATACAGCGTTAGCTCTCCTGCAGCCATGAATCCACAAACAGAGCAGAAAGGCTGGAAGGATCAGAAAGACTCTGGGCCTAACGTGTCCCCGTGCCGGGAGCCCCACACGGGGGAACCTGGAAACTGCAGTGAGAAACAGATGGAGCCGACATTAAAGCACACGTCTGATACATACGATTTCACCTGTCAGAAATGTCCAGAGGAAGCAAGTTTTTAGAGACAGAAAGCAGACTGGCGGCTGAAAATGTTTCACACTGGGAAAATGTTTCACACTGGGTTAGGTGGGCAAGTTAAATTCACTCAAAACCATCATCTTGTACATTTTAAATGGGTACACTTTATGGTACTGAAGTTAGACCTTAATAAAGCTGATGGGGGGGGGGGAGACGTCACTACAGGATTTAAGCAGGTGAAAGATGATCCCACTGTCCATTGTGAACGATGACACAGGTGGCAGCAGTGAGTGGTACGCTATTTTTCAGGTGACGGCCTGGTGGTCTCTACCTACATGAGACCCGTGAGGTCGAGAGGCGCTCCCCGGGTGAGGGCACAGCAGAGGGAGGGAGGGAGGGCATCAGGAGGGTCCTGAACACAAACCGAAACTGACAGCGCAAGGCAAATGGAGTCAAGACAGGGAAAGATGCCTGTGAAAGCACCTCGGGTGCCTTTCCCCGTCTCTAACCAGGAGCACATCAATCCTCCAACTTACCAGGCTTGGACAGGCAGAAGCGGTTGACTCCCTTGGAGAGGTTATAAATCCCCACGTTCTCAGGTCCATTTCCATCCTGATAAAATTCCTAAGGGACCAAAGCCAATACGGTGACTCACAGGGAGATGAAGCCGTCAGGGTTGATTGATACCCCGTCTGCCCCCAGACGGGGCCTCTGCTTTGCCCACTCACCCTTTCAGCATGCGAGCACCACAGGAAAATTAAAGGCTGCACACGCTCCCGACAAAAACATGCTTTTCCTTCCAGCAGCTCTGTGCTGAGCACCTCCTAGAGGGGCACGGCCCAAGGCTGTGCCCCGGGCGAGACGGACTGGCTCCAGCTCCCAGGGGCTTCCACTCCAAGAAGGGAAGGCAGGCAAGCTCAGGGCTGGCTAGCACATGCGTGGCTTTCAAGTCATCGGTGATGGGACCATGAGAGGCAGATGACAAAGGGGGCTGGACATGGAGTCAGCAGGGAGGCTACTTTGAGTTTGATGGTCTCATGGCCAGCTCACCTGAGGTGACCCCGGGGGTGTGGCCTAAATGAGGAAAACCACAGGGCAACGTGGGGGAGCAGCCTGGCACAGCAGGGGACCTGGTGAGGGGCACGTGGCCAGGGCAGGCAGACCATGCGAGGCACAGAGTAACCGGGCTTAAGGCAGGAGGGAGGCGAGGTCTTGGAGGCTCTGCTTAGGGACCATGGATCTTCTTTAAGGGAACCAAGAGCCACTGGAGGGATGAAAGCAGCGGTTCTCAACCGGTGGGTGGCGACCCCTTTAGGGGTTGGCCAACCCTTTCACAGGAATTGCCCGATTCATAACAGTAGCAATATGACAGTGATGAAGTAGCAACGAAAATAATGTTATGGTTGGGGGGGGGGGGTCACCACAACACGAGGAACTGTATGAAAGGGTCGCGGCCTTAGGAAGGTTGAGAACCACTGGATTAAAGGAAAGGAATGGCCTCCTGTCAATCACTTCTTCTCAGCTGGAGTATCAGGAACCTGTGTCCTGCACCAGGCTTCCTGACTGGATGCTAATGAGTCACCCCAGTACCAGCGCAGGGTGGAGCGTGTGCAGTGACCCGGTTCAAGCAGCAGGCGGGCATCAGCCAGACCGCTTCCAGTTCTTCCGGTGTCCACGTAAGGCACCGCTTACTGACCATCGGACTGGGTTTCCTCAGGGACCGAAAAATAACACTCGCCACAGCTGGATGCCAAGAAGTGAGCTAACACCCAGTCAAGGCCCTACACAGGCGGTTCCCTGCTGAAACTGGCAGCCGGGCACCGAGGCCGGCCCAGCACCGCGTTCCGCGGCCCTGGAGCACAGCCTGGGAGACGTGCTCTGTTAGAGCAGATGTGGCCGGCCAGCAGCTGCTGTCAAGACTGCAGCTCCCCTGGGCACTGCAGGGTCCCTGCGGGTCAGCAGCGAGGCCATGCCAAGGGACTGGGGTCCACCAGGAACCTGTCCGTACCCAAGGGGCACACTTAGCCCCTACTACAGGCTTGAGAAGTGGGTACTGCCATGTCAAATGAGAAAACCGCGCCTCAGAACGTGACAGGAACTTGCGGAGGCGCCAATCCTGTGTGCTCTGTCCCCCGTCACCCTTCACTGTGGGACCAGGGCGGCGGCTCTCTGAAATAGAGCTGCCGTCCCACTGCCCACGCCAAACCCCAAACCAAGGCCATCCAGTTGGTTCCCATCTGCTCTCACGGGGTTTCCAAGACACCTGAGAGGAATTTCTGGGAGCAGGACGCTTCATCATTCTCCCAACACGTAACCCACGGGGCCCTTCATGCTCTGAGGGGCTCTCAGTGCTCCTGGCCCCTGTCTTCGCTAATAGGAGGGCACATCGCGGGGCGGGAGAGGACGCAGGGTGCGGCAGGGGTGCTACGACGCCAGTCCCCCTCTCCTCAGTAAGAGGGCTGCCACCGGCCACGCCTACCAGAGTGATGGCGTGCGAGAGGGAGCATCTCAGCATGTAGCCCGTCTGTCTGAACTCCACCGCCGCCACGTCCGCCTCCAGAACCTCCACCTCCAGACTCTTGTTCTTCCAGCACCAGTCCTCGTGCACGATGCTGGCTGCAGGGCAACGGAGCCAATCACCACCCGCCCCGCCCCCATCCCACTGTGGGAACTAGCCGAGAGCGCCGGGACCGTGCAACAAGGAACGGCAAAGAAAACGGAAACCGAGTGTCATTAAAATCACCCAGAAAAAAGCCGGGGTGCATCCAAGATCGGGCGGCCACTTCTTCTATCAAGGGCCCTGGGCTCCGAGGACCACTCCTGTGAGGGGGTAGTGGTGTGCGTGCAAGTGGGGAGAGGCAATGGGGAAACGAGCAAGAGGTAGGCCTGTGTTCCTGGGACACTGTACTGATCAAGAGGCCGCCATGCGCCACAGCCTGGCAAGAACAGCAGAGATCCATTTTCAAACCAGTTGTCACTCAGGATGACCTGCCGCAGCCGCCCGCTGATCTCAGCGGGGGAAGCAGGCGCACTGGCAGCGGGTGGCTTCTCCAGAAGGGGACTAGCGTTCGCCAGCACCTCCTCCCTCCCAGGCCCTGGGCAGGAGCTTCCAGCCCTGACAGAGGAGGAAGCTGAGTCTCAGAGGGATCCTGCACTGCTAGTTCAGTGGTAGAGCATGTGGGTGGGACTCTCGCACCCACTCCTACCTGCTGCTCAGCAATGAAACAGCCTGACCAGGGCACGGGGGCTGTTAAGATGAGGTGGCCCGTGGGCTGCAGTTTGGGCATTATTACCCAGGCTACAGGTCAAGGGGCAAAGGAGCTGAACGGTTAGAGGCGGGGTGTGCGGGCCCTGAGCGGCGGCCTTCGTTCTCACTTTTGTATCTCCCGGGGAGCACGCTGTCAAACACGAACGTCATGGAGTTGGCCTTGCCGGAGAGCTGGAGGCTCCGCTTCTCGCCCTGGCGGCTCAGAGACTGCAGGGTCACCAGCAGCTCCCCACACGTGTCTGCAGACGAAAGACGGGGTAGGGAGGGGTTCTCACTGGACGGGCCTCCCACAACTAAGCTCACCTGTTCACACCTTCTCCCTCCGGGGGTGCTAACCACTACCATTTAGCACCTGAGACGCTGAGCGCTTTGATTAAGTCTAACAGCCACCCCCTCCATGGAGGACCCCATTCCACAAAAGCCTGAGGAGGGGAGAGGGGAAGGAGCACAGCGTTTATGGGGCACCTCCTAAGAGAGACAGTAAAACCCACTGCTGCCTGGCCAGTTCTGACTCGGGGTGACCCTAGAGGCAAGACTGGAACTGTCTCATAGGATATCAGAGACTGTCAGTCTTGACAGAAGCAGGAAGCCAGCCCCATCTTCCTCCTGTGGAGTGGCTGATGGGTTTGTACCCCCGCCCTCCCCATCTATTTTCAGATGAGCCGCTCCTGTCTTCCGCTTACATCTTACCCAAACAGGAGACTTTCCCAGACACAGACGCCAGAAACTGCACAAAGGCCACGCCCATCACGGGCCGGTCCATCACTGTGACAGGAAACGTCGGGGGCTTCAGGGCCAGCCCCGCTCGCATCTCGGCCTCAGGAACAATCACCTGCAGGAAGATGCGTCTCAGGCTGCTGCTCCTAGTCCCCAGAGACCCAGAACAGGCACCAGACACGGGGCTACATACATCTCAGCAGACAGAGGTTCAATTTTAGGTCTAGGTCAATATTAAAAGCACAAAAAATGATCACATACCCTATGAGAAGATAATACATTTCTAATCAAATGTAAAAAATACTGGCCTTAAAAATTACCAAAAAAGGACTAGGCTTCGCTACCCACAGGTGCACAGAAACATGCACCTGGTGTCATTCTCTCTCCCGCACACAGGCGCTCAAGGGATCCCTCTTGTGGTGACTTTGTAGGACAGAGTAGAACTGCTTGCTCTCAAGGGCTCCCAAGACTGTACATCTTTCAGGGCGACAGCAGCCTCCTCTCTCTCCCGTGAAGCAGCTGGGGAGCTCAGCTGTTGACCTGGTCAGCAGTCCAGTGTACAACCCCCTACTCCCCCAGGACTTGTCCAGCTCTGTCTGCAGACCACACATATAAACGAGGGGCACAGGAAGACGACCACGTTCTAGAATGGACTGTACAACACTTCTTCACTTGATGGGACTATTGAAGTGTGCGCTACGTGATTATGTGCCAAGAAAACAGTTAAAAATAAAACAAAAACAGACAAAACCCAAGTCCCTTTTCTCTAAGTTTAAGGCACAGGTACACGTCAGCTATGAGCTCGACAACCCCGTGTGATTGTCACAAATCAGGACCTTTCTTCCTCCTTGTCCTGCATGCCTTTCTCAGACTAAGAAAGGTGTGAGTGTGTGTGTGTGTGTGTGCAGCAGACAGCTGTTTCCACCCCTGACAAGATTAGGGAGCCCTGGTGTGGGTGTGTGTGCAGCAGACAGCTGTTTCCACCCCTAGTACAGACAAGATTAGGGAGCCCCGGTGGTGCAGTGGTTGAGCACTAGGCTGCTAACTGGACAGTCAGGGGCTTTAAGCCACCAGCCACTTCACTGGAGATTGATGCAGCAATATGCTTCCATAAGAATTACAGCCTTGACAACTGGACACCCCTTACTGAAGCATTGCAGGGAGGAGGCGAGCCAGTCAGGGTGCAGTGTAGCAACAATGAAACACACAACTTTCCTCTAGTTCTTAAATGCTTCCTACCCCCACTATCATGATCCCAATTCTACCACACAAATCTGACTAGACCACAGGATGTACATTGGTACAGATAGGAACTGGAAACACAGGGAATCCAGGACAGATAAGCCCCTCAGTACCAATAATGAGAGTAGCGATACCAGGAGGGTGAAAGGAAGGTGGGGTAGAAAGGGGGAACTGATTACGAGAATCTACATATAACTCTCTCTCTGGGGGATGGACAACAGAAAAGTGGGTGGAGACGTTGGACAGTGTAAGATATGACAAAATAACAATTTATGAATTATGAAGGGTTCATGAAGGAGGGGGGAGCAGG